AAAAAAAGTGGTCATGAAGGTTGAACAAATGGCACAGAATTATGTTTATGGCGAATAATCTTCTCTTCGAATTCATTTCTTTACATTTTTGTCTTTTTTACCTTTGATTTGGCATTCTACGACATTGGTATCGTTTCTAAATGTTTTCCTTGCAACTTATGGTATATTTTTGCTCATTTAGCAACTGTTTTGCACGATTTACAGTATGGTTGAAAACTTTTTTTTTTTTGGAAACGGCCGAAAATTCATGCGCGCGCGGATTTCATCTATATAATCAAATCAACATGGCCTAATAATGTTTGCCTATAACATACACACAGTTTGTCTGCCAATTTCACACAGGCACAACTCCCATCCTTAACACATGCCAGCTTGTACGCACCGTTTCTAAACATTACCTTATAAGGTATTGCCTGGGGTGTGGACAGTCAGAGGTGTGCAGATCTCACCTGGTTCATACTTAAGTAGGGATCAGATGTCTCAGGGGCGGGGAGGAGTGAAGATCTGGCTACTTAAACCCTTAAACATGACACCCAAAACACAACTCAACATAATACATGTCTGGAGTCAAGGGTCTTCTCTACATATTTTGCCAAGTAATATTCAGCTGCGAAGAGTGCTAATAAAATGGCTAGTTTCACACTATGAATTGACTGTGTGATATGTTCTGTATACAAAGAAGACTACTCGCCTATGCTCTTAATCTGTGATATTAAGTATAGGATAAATGGGTTAGGTTACCTGAAGATGGGTTTAACTTTAAGAAGATGAGCTTTTTTTTACCTTTATTTAATCTTGATGTGTTTTGGTGTGTTAAATCCTGAATATTTATTGGAAGATGTTTCAGTGATTTCAAAAAGTTAAGGACAAAGATATATCGTGTTGGATTATAATGTTTTTGGAAGGATAACCGATAATTGCTTGAAATGTTTAAATGGTTCCCTTGTTTGTAGAAGACTTTTGTCATCAATTACATATCACTGAAATGATGATAAGGTAATACTAAGTATCAAATATCTGTTTGTAGAACAAATCCTATCATAGCACTTTATTCAAGCAATCTAGAATACCAACTGGATATGTTATGGGAAAATATTCCTATAGCAATATTCAAGGTCTAATTCTCTAACAAATCTAATGTCTATCATCATTTGACTATTCACTGTTGCCCATCTAAATTCAGTTGATACTATGAAATAGCTGTCTGTATGTATATACTGTATATGTCACCACTAACCTATTCCTAAACATAGAGGTTGCTATAAGTCTAAAGTCTATATTTATAATACCGTTGTATTTGATCTGGAATGTGGCCACTTTATCTTGGGAGCTTGTTGCTTACATTCTGCAGGAATAGAAAACATTTTTGTCTAGTTCAGGACCTTAGCTAGGTTAGTAACGTGTCAGTAACTGTTCAGTACAAGTCTGTGTATTTGTGCCATGCAGGTTTTCACCACCTACTCTATAGAAGATTATGACCGGCGGAATGAGGATGTGGACCCCGTGTCTGCTTCTGCCGAATACGAGCTGGAGAAAAGGGTGGAGAAACTGGACATCTTCCCTGTGGAACTGGAAAAGGGTGCGTTTCTTAAAATTTGTTTAAAAAAAAAATGTTTCTGTCATTCATGTTTATGATTAATCCAAGGCAATGTATTACAGTTTTTAAGGCATCCAATACAATTTCAGGAAAAAGTCAATTGTCTGGTCATTCTTTTAATATAGTAAATTCAATCAACCTTATCTCATAGCAAAGTGATGTCTGTGAGACAAAAATGCAATGTTGCGGACAGAAAACGATTGCTTGTTTCATAGGCTGGTTGTAGCTATTTAAGGTACCCAAAAATATAGGAAGTCCTTATGTATCTTGTCTTTGGGCTATTTTAGATGATTCAAAAATGGAATGGTGATGAAAATGTGCAAAGAAACGGCAGTAATTGTTAAATCAGACAGATTTCCTCATCCAGAATATTTTTTGTTTTGCTGCCCTGAAATTGCATTGGAATCCTTTAACAGTGAAATTTGAATTTTGTATGGATAGAATTTTCTAATCATGAGCATTCTCAACTGAGTGCAAATCCAAGAGATCAGTCAAATTTGGCCCAATTCTTTTGACAAGTATCATTATAGCTCCATGTATGGAGAGAAAGACCACCCAAGAGAAAAGGCTAAACGCATGTGTGAAAAGTGTGCCACACTAGAAATCTAACTAGGTTATCCAGTTGTTCAAGTGAAGTTGCACATTTTCCTGCCACAGTCTAATGTAACCTGCACCTGTTCAGGGTAGAACAGGGTGTGAGGGTCCTTTGTTTACATTGTCTGGTTGGAATGGGTAAAAATTCCAGTCAGAAGCTCCCTCTAGTGTCCCATTGAAGTACTGCAGGTAACTGTTCCCTCTGACCCTGAGACATTTTGACTGTTAAGTTTTTATCATTTTTAATAAACTATGGCTCCTGAACAGTTTTCAGTACTTCCTAAATTCTGAGTGGTATAGGTAAATTTCAATGTTATATGCACCAGTGCAGGTATGTAGAACTAGAAGTATTTCGATCCCTGAATGATGTTCCTAACTTGTTCATTATGTTTACCATCATCATAGTCCATCACCATGTTTACCATGTTTACCAAAGGAAAACATATTGTTCTGTTTCCTCCTCTTTTTCTTGTCCAAACCAATAAGATCAATAACCTGAACCCGATGTCTATCACCATGGTAACTAGTGTTGGGTTACATCATGTTGCAATTTTATAGCAGGAGGGATTCAGACTCCAGTCACCATATATATGAATGTGTTTGAGTAAGAATTAACAGAGCAGACCTTATGCGAATTTGAAGGTAAACATTATACATTTGCTCTGTAGTTCCTGACTGTATGTTGTATTGTGCTTGCAGGAGTGGATGGCCTGGGCCTCAGTATCATCGGAATGGGGGTGGGAGCAGACACAGGGCTGGAGAAATTGGGCATCTTTGTGAAGACCATCACCGAGAACGGGGCTGCTCAGAGGGACGGCAGGTAATATGGTTTCGATAAATCCCAGGGAAAATGGTTACTGGAGTTTTAGCCTGATACTGCATAGAACAAAACAGTACATACATGTAGATATACGATATAGGATCTTTGTCTTTGTATATTATACAAGAAGTTTTAAAAGACACTATATGTAATATTAGCCTGAAGGTTCATCTGTGTCATTACTGTATTCGTAGAAGTCATTCTGCAAAATTTGGGTCCAATTTTTGTGTTGCAATTTGCAGTTCAAAGCGGTTGCAGGATACATGTAATATTCTCTATTGTCACTTGTACCACTGCTATATAACGCAGTCAAAATTTGAATTGTGTGTTTCTTTAATTTATGCAAAATTTTGACGAAAGTTGATGAAAATGTATGAAGAAGGACTGAACACAAATATAACACAGCAATGGGAATTTTTTCAACACTTCCCTTGCAGTTTTTACATTGTCTTGTAAATGCAACATCAAATTTGCCCAGTACTCGAACATACAAGTGATTTTCCATGTGTAAACAAAGTCATTTGTCACAAAAGCTGGCAAAAAACATGTCATTGAACATGTCATTATATTAGATTGGACTGGCAAAAAACATCTCATTAATGTCAATTAGGAGGATGTTAATCAATGTTTCCACTTACTCGATGGCTTCTTTTGATATTGAAATGACGATTACATCACTTACTTTGAAGTGGATTTAGAACGAATGCTGTTTTTTGGTAGTCTGCTATTGTTTTGAAGTTGTGTCTCGGTATAATGTTTTCAGCAAGTAAGTGGTAAATTTTGTCTCTTATAATGTTTTATGATCTAAAAAGAGAATGCATTGTTTTTGTGGTCAAAGCAGCATTTTGTAGCCACGCTCCTAGTAAAGACACTACAGTACTCACTCAAGCGTTCACATGCATTCCTGATCCTTTTCTACGTATATCTCACTGTTTGAAATTACTGGCACATGAAAGAATGAAAGAAACCTGCGATGTTGAATGACACTTACTTGGAAAGGTGGGGACTGAAGGATTCCGTGTTGTGCCACGCGCTGGTCTGTACTTGTTATAGATGGCAGAGTGCCAGTGTCGGGAGAGGGAACTACAAAGTGCCGTGAAGTGTCGTACACATGCATGTAAAATCTCTCAGAGAGCAGAAAAAAGCTGCCTCATGTAGCTCCAGAAGCAGAAATTTGATGATGTGAATCATATGATACAGTGTTTCTTTTGACAGGATTAAAGTGAATGATCAGATCATAGAAGTGGATGGTAAGAGTTTGGTGGGAGTGACACAGGCCTATGCTGCCCAGGTACTCAAGAACACTAAAGGCAAGGTAAGAAATGGGGACTATCTGTTAGGGGAGGGGGGGGGGAGATTCTACATCATACAAATTAGTTTTCTCTATTACAGCACTGGCTGAATCCCCACCCCCATGCATGTAGGCCTAGGAAAAAAATGTTGTGTTTCCTGTTTCCCGACTGACCCTAGAAAAAACTGCCAACCCTAGCCTTTTTTTGTGTGTGGACCCCTGCATGGGACATACATTTTTTTAGGTCTTCTAGCTCTATGATCTGACACCTGAATGATGAAACGTTGTACAATCGGTTTTACACCATTGACATTGAAAATATAAGTGTCCTCATGCAAGTTAAACTGTATTGTGTGAGTTGGACCATTAGAGAAGTAACAAAAAGTATTGGGGTATTTCATTCTATGAAATTGCTAACAATGTATTGAACGTGTTCTGTTGAAATGGTTTGAATTGTGATAGAAGTTATATGTAGATAGACGAACCATATTAAAGACAATACTGTTACAATCTAATTATATAAGCCTGCATGGGAGCCTGAAACTGCACCCTTCATTTCTGACAGGTGTACTTCCATATTGGTCGGGAGAAAGACGACACCACTAGCGAAGTGGCAGCACTCATCAGCCAATCCCTGGAGAGAGACAAGCAGAGAGCAGAGGCCCTGGCACAGGCACAGGTATAAACTGGGCACCAAGGCTGACCCAGGGCTCTAGCCAGCACCCGTTTTTCCGTCAGTTGCAGGAACTTTGTGGCGTGTGACGGAAAATTTTTTAAACCAATCTGTCAACCTTGACAGACAAAATTGACAAGAATCTTGAGAAAGGACCAACAACAATGACTCTCGACCACACGATTTGCCTCTCGAAATGTGGGAAATTGCATTTTTAAAGGCATTAAGAGAAATATACCGGAGATCCCTAGCCTGCTCTGGCTCTCTTGTATGGAACGCTCTTCCTCAGCATGTTAGAGCAGCACCTACTCTTGGCACCTTTAAAAGACTGCTAGTATCGTAACTGACTTTGACTGAACGTTTTTGGACACAACGACTTATGAGTTATTTATTAGTTATTGCCATTTTGTTTATTTATTTACTTTGTATGAGTTACCTTATGTATAAAAATTATTACTTTGTTTTCATTTGTAAATAAGTAGTATTTATGTGATGAACCCCTGACACTCCTCCACGCTCGACCTCTATGAAAAGCGGCCGAAATAGCGGCCGATTATAGCATGTAACACAGTTACAGATCGAGTTGAAATAAAGGCTCAAACAAACAAACAAACAAACAAAAGTCGAAAATTTGCCCCCAGACCCCTCTAGATTGCAAGCACAAGTTGGTCGAATCATACCATCATATCATAAAAACCAGTTACTGAATTACAGTGGAGTCTGCACAAAACTCTTGGCTTAGTCTGTTTTTCCTGTTGAATGATGTCATGCCTTTTGTACTTCCATGTTACTGCCACATTCATGCTATATCATACTTGGCTATCATTCAGTTTATATATTGTCTGTGAGAGAGAGTATAACTTGGACAAAAGCCGATATAACAGTGCCATAAGGAATTTTGTAATACTGATAGACAAGTAAGAAAATGTCAGCATTTTTATACACACATCCTTTTTTACCCAGGACAAAAGATGTGCTTTGTTCATTGTTTTTACATCTAATGATGTTATCCAATGTGATCTTACCTTGCCCAATGTAATTATCAGGTCGATCAAAACATGTCTATCTTCTCACAATTCTTTACTGATTCAAATGGAAAGTCCTGGATGCTATCCAAACGCAATGGCATCTATCCAAGTTTAAGTCAACACATGTTGCCTGGACAGTCACTAATTGTAACACAGCCAAGTATTTAATTGCTTGGGCAGATAGACTTGTCAAGCCCATGAGAGTTAGTACATGTGATATCTGTGGTGTACTGTGGATTGATCCAGGCCACCAGAGCTATTTCCAGATAAGTGATCAAACACAAGTATGCCCTCCCTTCAACCTCCCAGTATGAGCTCTGCCCAAAAGGAGAGCCATAAAATATCTCTACTCTACTGTACACTGTCTTGTGATATGCCTTGACGTGCTTCACGGTCTTTTTTTGGCACAGGCTCTGGCGCAGGCGAGTGCGTGGACTCAGGTCGAGGCCCAGTCGCAGACCCCGCCATCTTGGAATGACCTGCCCGCTGCCCCCGCAGTGTCTCCCACTAGTCCAGAAGGGACTGAGAAGGTGGGTTTCACATCAGTACATCCTACATATGGATAAACCACTCATAAAGTAGTCTTCACCATATTTGTAGGACCTGTCAGCAGGGATTAAATGGGTCAGTTTTCCATACATGTGGGCTGCTAAATTTGTACTCTTCCCAAAGTTTTCTTACTCTAGATACTCCACAGTGATATTTTCTCACACCATTATGAATCTTAATTTACTTAAAGCATGTTTGTTTTAAATTCCCTTTGCACCACACTGTTAAAAGTTTAAGAATCTACACATCATATGTTTGTCTTTGCTTGGCAGAAGTACAACAAAAGATTACAAGACATCTAACCATCCCTCCTCACTACCATTTTTACCATCAATAAATTTTCTTCTGTTGATATGCAAAGATGTACATGACATGTAATACATTTCCCTTTTACTAACATGTTTGTGTTTCAATGGTCCTTAGACATTGCTAACCCTCCAAGGAGCCTCAGTAAGTTTATTTTACCCTCCCATTTCAACTTCAGCTTTGATACAAAACACATCGTCCTTCCACTGTTTTCCCTGCTATTTTAGTTTAACCCTTAGTAGTGTATAGGTGCTCTATGGCCATGTATCTACATGGCACATTGCTATGCAAAGGTGCTACAGGTTAAATATGCAATATAAGCCTACATATATGTGTTTTAGAGGTTTTTGTTAATTACCATCCAGAGTTGCAGTGCTAAGTACATGTAGGATATTTGTCAATGACTTAATTAGAAAGAAATTTTTCTCAAGGTCCTGATAACAGTTACAGTAAGGGCCAGACATCATCTAAGCGTCTTAGAGTGAAAGTCTCCAGGAAGCAACCATTGAGGAATGACACAAAGGAATGTCCTGAACACCCCTGTAACTACAGTCCCTTGTCCCTCTCCTATCCTGTTCAGTACAGCTAAACCTTCGGCAAACATGCAGTGAACTTTTCTGCAAGTTTAATGCTTGAGCTGTGTTGTTTGGATTTTTACGTATTTGTTGGTTGAAGTGTTTATTAATTGCTAGCCTCCATCAGGCCTTCCTAAGGGGTTATGGATGGTAGATTCGGCAAAAATAGAGTCAGTAGCTTAAGTCAAAGGATTGAGTTGTAATGTTCCCCTTGTTGTAAGGGCAAATGAACTCTATGGTGACCAAAATTCCCTAGCAAATCATTCTTCCTACTTGGGTAAGTTTTACTATGTTCCCGTCCGTTTTTTGCACAGGTAAGTAATAATCTTTTGAGACTCACTAACAGAGAGAGAGAGAGAGCTATTTTTCAGTCTGTTTTCATTGTTAATCTGGTGGGGACTAGTTTATTGCAACCTAGATACTCTCTCTCTCCATCCGTTTTAACGTCTGTTGTTCCTTGTGTTCCGACGGTTGTATTTTCTACTATATAGACAAAACTTTTTACGACGTTTTTTGTCCACTACCAGGTGATCCTGAACCTGCAGGGAGCGACTGTGACGGAGACTCATACGGAGGACTCTGACGATTCTCCGCAGGGTCCGAAGGTGATCGACGTGTTTGAGCTGGACGAGAGCAGCGGCAGCAGTTCTCCTATGGACGATGCAGACTCCAGTCAGATACGCCTCAAACTGAAAGAGGTAAAACTCTACAGTGGAGGAAATAGTTGTTTTCAGTGTCCTGTAATATTGCAGAATGTCAAAATTTTGTTGAAAAATGCTTTCTGCAAATACACACTTAAAGTATGGATCTAGATCCAATATAGAATATAGAAAATTGCATGTTGGCAAACATTTTACATGCAAATTGAAAAATACATGCAAAATTAGAGTCAGTATTAATTAGTAAACACAAAGCTTTGTCAAACCTCTAGCCTGATTTTTTGTCTGTTTCCTCAAACAAAATTGAGATGATGGGAAAAAAATTCAGGCTGGCTAGAACACTGTTAGGCCACACCGATTTAATTTTATGGATGACATCCTCTGAAGACCCCCAAACTAGTGCGCGCGGGTGAAAAAAATAAAAATCCGGCCAAAAATAAAAATGCTACAAAACCACAGGAATACAAACCTGGTATTGTGAATTTGGCGCATTACGTAGCGACGTATACGACAGGCCGACACATGCTGGATTTTTGCGGAATATATGAATCGACACTGCTGTACGTATGTACTGAGTTCTTGAGTCTTGGAGCTTCGGTAGCCTGGCTGCCGTCAACCAGAGTTATCACCACCATGCACTACCCAGGCCTAAAGCCAGGCCAGAGCCTCGGAATACGTGATTCTTTTTTTTTTGAGATCGGGCGAAAATCAATGCGCGCGCGGATGTCATCCATAAAATTAAATCGGTGTGGCCTTACACAAAAAAGAAAATCTCTTAGCACACTTTGGCTATAGTGTGTTGTGATTCTTGACACTTCACGTTATTGATGTCACTGGGTGAGAAATTTGACCTCTTCCAGCCATCCTGCCAAAAATATAGCTTGATGTTTGCCAACTTGGTTGACCCTGACTTCTGTGTTTTGTAATTATAGTAGGTTACATGTAGAATGTTTGGTGTGTTTTTGTGTCGCCCAAAACGGAAAGTTCAGGGTAGAAAATAAGATATTGTTACCATTGACACAACATTTGAGCTGTTTATCATGGTTCTGAATGTACTTGTTACATGATGAACTTTTGAAATGACCCCATAGATTGGCCATGTCTGTTTACCAGGGGACTGTCCATGATTGTGTATCTAGTTACTAAAGGATTCATTTCCTTTGCTACAGCTTCAGTACAAGCACGCTATTGCAGAGGCAGAACTTGCCCAGATGAAAATAAAGGTAAAGACTTTGGAATTTGACATTTTTACAGATATTTTGCTTGTATTTTATGCAGTTAACATATTGCTGTAAATTGTTTAGAGATTCTTTACTCCCAATAATTGTTCTTAAACCCTAAGGCCACACCAATTTAATTTCTTGGTTAACGGATTCGCCCGCTTCATTTTTTTCTGATTTGCAAATAAAAATAAAAATTCAGAATCAACTGCAAAATGCTCATATTTTGCCCTGAACAGTTGAAAACAGTCATTTTCTTCCTAGTTGGTACAGTTATTCCATCTTTCAATGCAGTGGTATCATTAAAGGTTAAAAATTCATTGTTTAAATTTTGAACCAGCCTGGTGTTTTGACTTCATGGCTCCTATCGTACCATTTTGGGCCATAATAGGATGCCTAGGCCTGTTTTTATTTTTATTATTTTTTTCGCCCGCCCGCTCCATTATTTTTCTTCAAAAATCCGTTAACCAAGAAATCAAATTGATGTGGCCTAATTGGCATGGATGAGTGACAGGCATAAATAAATGAGTCATACAAATGTACTTGTAAGGAAACAAGGTGATTTGAATTCCACTAATTTTGTCAGCCATAAATTATCACTGACAATGTTTCTCATTCTTATAATATGCGAGTTTCTAGACCCTTCTCTTATCCGTTTTCTCAAAAATCTACTTTAATTTTAAATTTTGACTTGTTTCTGTGTACTTTTGATCTGACACTACACTATGTATGATTCAAAACTGTTGTCTGGGTATGGGTAGTACATAGACTTAACTTCCCTACTACATTTCCTGTCAAATGTATGGAGTTGTTAGTCAGTGAATGTATTTGGCTGTGTACCAAGCACTCTACTTCCTATACTGTCTTGACATATACTAATAATATAGTTATCACTTGCTGGCAGTTTCTCAACTTTTTTATTAATTAGCCCTAAAGCATTGACCACATCCTCTTTCAATTGAAATCCT